ATATATATATATATATATATATATATATATATATATATATATATATATATATATATATATATATATAAAAGTAAATATAACAGTAGAAAATGATTTTAAATGTTAGAAATATATATTAAATATATTTTAAAAATCTCTCTGTCTATCTTTCCTAAAAAGAATCCTAAAAAATTAATATTGCAGAATTAATCAATTTAAATAAAATTGATATGTATTTATTTGTAATTATGTAATTCCTCTATTATCGCGTTTCGTTGTTAGAAATGTTATATTCAATGAAGTATGATTTTTGTACGATTGTAACATGATTGATGTATCACCAAAGTCAAATTTCTGAAAAAAAATATACAATACTCCAAAATATGTTTGTATAAAAAATTATTGAACATATAAAGAATATTACATGTATTCCTTTGGGGCGAAAGACTTTATACAGTCCCGCAGCACTGTCCCGTAGCACTGTCCTCATCGCTCGTGAGAAGATAGGAAGCGAGATAAATGAAAAATGTCGTATTTGCGATATTTGCAATAATTTTTCGAGTTATTAAAGTTGCACAAATAAGAGCGCGCGGGGAGACAGCGCTCGCCCACCTGACCCATAGACGGCTCAGCGTGTCGACATTGGCCGCCCGGCGCACGGAGGTGGGTGGAGCGCGCGCGGCGAGGGGAAGGATGAGCCATCGTTCACACTTCTTATCACGCCGAGACTCGCGAAAATTATTGCAAATATCGCAAAATAAGACATTTCCATTTATCTCGTCTTCCATCTACCTTCTCGTGAACGTGACTATATTACACATGCCATAGAACATCCTTATATAAAAGATATATATCACAAAAGTGAAATATTAAAATAAAGAAATATTTAAATGCAAAAAAAACTTGAAATGCTAATTAAATATTATAACATCTATAATTATGTTAGAAATCAGATAATCATATTATCAAATATCATCAACATAATATTATCAATTATATTATAAAAAGATAGTAGTATCTCGCGATAAAATTCGCAACGAAATCAAAAGAATAATGGCAAGACGTTCGTGACTTTATGCATGCAACCTACTGAAATAAACTTTAATTTAATTTAATTTAATTATTAATCATATTAATTTAATTATTAAATGTAGTACACATTTTTACGTTTCATTATTTAATTGGTTGAATTCATAATTTTTGGTACAATTCAATTGATAACTGAAATTTAAATTATATAAAGAAGTGGTTTTTAATGTTTTTATTTATGCGTTATAAAATATCGTAAATTTTTAAATAAAAAATGTTCATGTCAGTTCACCGTCAGTTAAGGAACTAGCACGACTTCCTCATTTATAATACAAGAAGACAGCAGTTTTTTGAAAATAATATGGAACATATTATATAATAATGAATATAATTAAAATTGTCTTTTTATAATTTTGTAAATTATTATCGATGTCTTTTATTTAATATTTGGATTTTGGATATTGTGATATCTTTGTTCATAAGACACAAACAAAGAAAATAAGAACAATGTCCTTATACATAATTAAATTTCCAACTTATTAAATTATTATGTCCTTATTCATAATTAAAATTCCACCTATCGATTTGAGTTAAAACTGAACAATAAACTCTGATTCAATTGATCAATTAATATATAAAATAAAATATGAAGACTTTTATTTACATTGCGTATATATAGGCATATCGCTGTTATTTTGCACGGGAAAATTGTGCCTCTTGATATTAGAAGAATCGATATGATTTTAGGAAAAAAAAAAAGGAGCAGAAGATTTATTTTACCTCCTCGAGAGAGTGATGTTCACGCATAACAAAGCAGTCGCATGCGTCAAACACTTTCGTATGTGTAAGGTAGAATTGCCCTATCAGTATATACATTATGTCCAGTGTTGTTTTTGTGATAATGCACGCGATATCGCGTTCGATGATAGCGATATCGCGTTCGATTTAGACATTTGTCGCTAATTTGATTTAAAGCGAAACTTGCAGTTTAGTTACAAAATTCCAGCTCCTCTATCTCTTGTTTTGTATGATACAAAGAAAATATATTATTAATTATGTAATTCGTTACGCTACGTCGTTACTTGTGCCATTATTATTATCGAAATTTTTTTCTCACGGAGAACAGCAGCTTAGAGGATAGAAATCGAATTGAGCAGTCTTGGTCCTTCTATTTTCCAGCGCTCTCTTTTGCAAGCTTTTTCTTTCTACTTTCTTACGTATATATCGTTCTCACATCGTTCCATAGACACGATTACTCTATTGCGCGAAGCCCATGAACGTCACAATTCGCATGAGGAAGCGCGTAAATAAGTATTACATCGAACGTAGCGCAATATATTTAAGAAAGATAGCCCGTTAGCACGCGCATCGGAACTCAGAATATGTAAATACGTTTATTCGCACACATCGAAGCTGATCCTTTTTTTTTTTTTTCTCAATGATTGTCTATGTAACTAAGCTGAGGACTGGCAAAAAAATGTCGCTCTTTTCGTTGCTTTTCTTCCTTTTTTTTTTCAACGATCGTTAAACTCACGTTTCTTTTACGAAGTCGTGATATGTTCGTATGGTCCATGGAATTTGTAGTAGATGACGATTACGAAGAAATTACGAGGGTGTTTCACGATGTGCAACTCAGCCCCTTGTCGATGACGTTTTGCCTTTCGTCCGACGGCCGTTGCACGAATGGAAGACTTTTGGAGCGTTGACTGTGAAGTATCACTATCATTTCTAAGTCGGCATGTATAATAATAATAATATATCGTTACGCTCATTTAAGGGGCGTTTCGGTTTAATCATCATGATTTGTTCCTGTTTCTCGATTCGGCACGAATATTAAGCGATAACTGTCAACAAGCAGACAAGGCTGCTCTTCCGAGATGCTGGTCAACTTTTGTTTATTTCTCGGATCAATTTACGTTTGTGCGACATGCTGTTCAATCAAACTTCTCTCGGATCTTATTCTTCATAGCTACGTCTATGAATCATCTCTTTTAGAGGTGTTGAATATGAATATATTAGCGTATATCTTTTCGATATGTATAATAAAAAATAAGCACTCGATCATTCAAATCAGGCCTGCTCGAATTCATTAAGTGTGAAAAAACGAAACCTTTCATTTCCTCTGCAACTGCTTATTCTGTCGTAATTCTTCTCAACGATAACAACTACCTGCGATCTATCGCAATCATCTAATAATCGGAGCTTCAACACTATCTTTTCTGCCTTTTCTCCGTCCTACTTAGTCTTTCGCTCATTTTTTTCTTTCTAGATCTATTTGGTTGTGTGTTAAGCTTAATGACATCTCCAAGAAAAGTGCAGCTGTCGAATGTATTCCTGAAACATTATCGCAATTAATTATTGCTTCCAAATATGTTTTTGTTTGTGATACATAATTAAAAATTAAATTAAAATTAAAAATTAAAAAGTTTTATTTTTAATTCTTAAATTAATTAAAATTTTACAAACAATTTTTGTAAACAAAAATAGTAAATAAATGATAAAATCTGAAAATACTTCCTTTAATACTTAAATATATTTTT